CCAGCTATGTGCACTTTGAGCCTATGGTGGGAGTGGCAGCTCTGATGATCTCTGAATTGCTTTTGGAGATCTTCCCCTTATCTTGAACACTAGTGCATGTTTGCAGTTGAATAGTTGCATGCAATAGCTCTACAGTCTGGTCCTGTAGAGTTTAAGAAGTCCAACAGTCTTCCTTCACTTTGTCCCATTTTCTGTTTCCTTTAGTCACAGCTGGCAGTGTTTCTGCTGGTATAATCCCATCTCTATTCCTGGCTTTAGCTGATTACATTCATGATTCACACCCACACTAATTCCTTACCAAATGGTCAGTCTACCACCTCCTTAGAGTTCTCCTCTGAACATGCTTTCTCATTTTTTGTAATATCAGTAGGCTAAACATTTTCTAAATCTTAAAGTTCTGGTTCCCTTTTGCCTAATAATTTCATCATCAATTCATTTCTCTCCTCTTGCATTTTACTATAAATGTCAGAAGGAACTGAGCTGCTTCTTCAACGCTTTGCTTAGAAATCTCCTCACCTAAATATCCAATTGTATTGCTCACAAGTTATATATCCCACAAAAATCTAGAAAACAAATACAAATCAGTCAAGTTATTTGCCACTCCATAAGGACCTTTCCTTCCGTATCCAATAACATGTTCCTGATTTCCATCTGGGACTTCATCAGAATGACCTTTACTATCCATATTTCTACCAACATTCTGTTCACGATTACATATGTATTCTCTAAGAAGACAGAGCTTTCCTCTTTCCTTTCTGAATCCTCACCAAAAGGCCTTTGAAAGCCCCTTCATGGCAATATTAGCATTTTCTAGCATGCACTTCAAAATTCTTTCAGCCTCTACCCATTAACCAGTTCCAAAACTGCTTCCCCATTTAAGGTTTTTGTTACAGCAGCACTCTACTTCTTAGTAACAATTTCTGTCTTTGTTCAGGCTGTTATAACAGAATACTATAGTCTGGGTGGCTTAAACAACAGCAATTTATTTCTCATGGTTCCGGAGGCTGGGAAGTCCAAGACCAAAGTGCCTCAGCAGATTCAGTGTTTGGTGATGGTTTTCTTCCTGGTTTGAAGATGGCTGTCTTCTTCTTGTATCCTTGCATGGTGAGGAGATAGAAAGACAGAAAAGTAGAAGGAACAAGAGAGAGATAGTGTATGCCTCTTCTTATGAGGGCACTAATCCCATTCATGAGGCTATACCCTCATAAACTAACTAGCTCCCAAAGTCCCCACCTTGGAGGAAATTTAGGCTTCAACATATAAATTTGTGTGTGGAAGGGACACATTCAGTCCATAGCATCTTCTCCTAAAAACTCAAACATCCTTGCCATGCCAAACAGTGGGATGCAGTGTGTTCTACTTTTACCCCTTCACTCCACTCATTCCAAATTACTTTTCAGATAGCTAGACATGGGGTAAATCAGCAAGTGTGGCATCTAACAGATGTGCAACTGAGGACTGAGATGTTAGACTCCATCTGTTGCTAGCACCAGTTGCTATGAGTGATTCTTTGGGAAACCCCTTATCAGCTTAGTGGGGGAAGCTTCCCTGCCCCCTCTCACTTTGAGAAAAGAGGAAAAAGCCACAGCCGACCTTATATTGGCCAATGAGTTACAATTCTGATATTTTTCTTCTTTCCCTTAATATATCTTTCTGCTATTTGGAGGCATGGGAAAATGCCAAGCCCCAAATATGTGTGGATCTTTGTAGAATGCAGGGTATTTATTACTCCTTTTTACTCAGCTATGAAGTAAAAAGTCAACTGGCCACCAATTCTAAGATCTTTC